TCCCAGCTACCCTTACTTTGCCTTGTTCCTTTCCAGAGGACTGGCTCCATTGCCCTCCCTGTCCCCCTCTGAAGGCTGCCACAGGCTGCATCCCCAGGCCATCCAGTGATTGGACAGAGAGGATGCTGAATAGAACCATTGCAGCAGCCAGGGACACCTCGGCCTTCTTGGAAACCAGCAATGAGTCCCTCTTCCCCAGCCCCCATTCCCAAAGAGGCAGGAGGGGGTTATTGTAGGATCTTAAAGAGTGCATTCAGTCTAGAGGGCATATGCCAAACTGGAGGGGGAGGGTATTCAGAGACCGAGAGACACAGACAGAGATGGAAGTAGAGTTGGAGAGACTAAGAGGTGGGAGGGAGTGGGAGAGGAGGGACAGAAAAGGGGAAAAAACCCCAAGCACAGAAAAGAAAATTCTGTCCCCCACCCCCCACCCCAGGTCAGGGTCAGAGGGATGCCGATAAAAGTCATTCGGTGCAAAACTCAGAGGTCTGTCACTCTGTAGCCCCAAACCCATAGGCCCCCCGGCAGACTCTAACACTTCCTCACTATCCTCACTTGGTCAAGAGAAAGAAAAGAAGAAAGTGACGCTGGGTGTGGGCCTGGTGGGAAGATTGGGGGAGGGGGACTTATGACCACCTGGAGTGTCTCCCCCCCAAAGTCCATTTGGAGAAAGAAATTGAGAACAATAGACCTTGGGGGGATTGGGGAGGGATGGGAGGGAGGGAGGGACACTCATACTTAACCCCTCCCCTGTCTCTTTTTGGCATTCCTTAAGTTTAATCATTAAAAGGGACCCTTTATTTAAAAAAAAAAAGCAGGAGCTTAGAGCGGTTTGTGACGCTGTGCCCCCACACTGTCAGCGGAGTGAAAGCTTTGGGTCTGGCTTTGTTTCCTTCTCTGCCAATGGCAGATTTGGGGAGACCAAGCTTCAGATTTCTGGCCACATCAAAGTAGTGATTATGCAAATTACAACTTTAAAAAAAAGGGTAAAAGAAACTAGGGAGAGGGTGTGTGTGGAGGAGAATTATTTATCACACAATGAACCCCCTGCCAAGGTTGGAAACAATAGATTCGTCCCCTGTACTTGTAGCCCGGGGCTAGGGGAGAAGCACTGGGGAGAGTGGTGGGGGAAGAGTGGGGAAGGGGCCAGCTCGTTTTATTGGTCTAACCTAATTTCACTAATTCTCTTTTCACACATTTTCTTCTGCGGATTCCCGAGCCAAGGCTTTCACGCTCACAGGATCGCCTCGCATTGGCCAGACTCACTCCAAGGGCCCGTTTTTATTTAATCAATGCATTCAGAAGCTAGGCAGGGGAGTCCAGGGGGCCTAAGGGCCTGGGGGAGAGAGAAGGAAAGGACTGGGGCTGGGGGAAGGAGTGGGCCAGGGAGGCGGCGCTTTTTAATAGTTTCCAGGTGTCTATGCCCAGGAGTTACAACCTGCTCCGGGCTTTATAATAAATGTGGGGGAATAGTGGGGGGAGAAAACTTGGAGTGAGCCAAGCCTGGGGCAGACCTTGCCAGAGAAAACTGAAGAGGGGCGTCTGGGAGCAGCCGGAACTCGAGCTAAGGCTGCTCTGGGCTGATTACCGGCTCTCGGGGTGAGGCTAGGTGGGCAGAGAGAGTCTAGTGCGTAAGAGGTACGGGTGGTATGGGAGTAGGGCTGGGTGCGCTAACTAACTAGGACGCTGGAGGCTCCTGTCCGGACAGTCAGGCAACTTAAGTGGACTCTGCAGAGAGTCGGTTCGGGGGAACTGGGCCGGGGTCAGGACTTCTAGGCAGAGACCAAGGACGGCAAGAGATTATTTCTGGGAGACCAAGAGTAGATAATTGGCCAGACTCTTAGAGAGTCAGCCAGGGGTCGAATTATGGCTCTTTGCTCCCTTTTCTTTCTCTGTCACCGACTGAGCGTCCTTTCCCAGCTGCCCTAGTGCTCTCTGGACTGGACTGGGCCCAAGGATACCTTACACCCTTGCTCAAGCACGCCGGCAAACAAAGACACCGAGAACTAGGCCGAGAAATTCCCGACGGAAGGGCAAGGCAGGCATCCTCATAACTCTCTGTCTCCTGCCCAAGCCAGCCCATGACCTGTTCTGATCTCCTCCCTCCTTCTTTGCCTAGTCCCACCACCCTAAGGATCAGAGTCTGACTTGGGCCAGGCTTTGCTCGCAACCAGAGGAAGACTTTGTAACCTTTGTAGCTCTCTGAAGGATAGCTACAGAAGACCCCTAACGGCCCTTTGGAGAACACTGACGATGTAGGACTTAGGCAGGACTGGGATAGGCTTTTAAAGTCCTTGTTGGGAGGGCAGGGGAGAGTCCTGTGCAAGAAAAATGGCCTTGGGATGATACGGGTCTTGAGATGAGGAGGAGGAAGACGAGTCATTAAAAAAAATTTTTTTTTAACCCTCCCCAAACTGATAGGGCTCTCAAAGTCCCAAATTAGGTTGAGATCCACTGTGGGTTTTTCCAACACCTAAGTATGTGAACAATCCTTGAATTCTCTGCTACATTCACTGAACTAGCACTGAAAGAAAGAGCTGGTGAGCTACGTGTGACTGAGACACCCACTTCCACTGAACATTTCTCTAATAGCTAATATATACAGAGAGTAAAGGGCACATTACATTGAATTATTTCAAGTTTGTGGTCCTAGAGTTATAGAATGTTAGACCTAGAACAGGAAGGGACCTCAGAAGCTATCTATCTAGGCCAACTTTTCTCCACTTTTACAGATGAGGAAACAAGAGGCCCAGGGATGTTCAGTGATGAGGAGGTATTGGGGGATTGCTAGGAAGCCCAGGACATAGCTCCTTGCACAGCGTGGCATCTTCTCCGTAGACCTGAGTGCAGAATGGAAAAGGTATTTTAGTTTCTTACTATTTGACTCTGGCCATCCCAGTCAACCTTCAGGTGAGAGCTTGGGTATAGAAAAGAAACGGAATGCAGGCATGGTAGAGAAAGCATTTCTTGTGGGAAAAAAATAAAACAACTATTGCTCTCTGTGCAAATTCTGACCCTTTGTGGGAACAGGCACAGAAGAGAGGCTGAGAAAGAGATTTGAGCCCCTAGTGGATTGATTCAAATCACTGCTTCCCAGTCAGAAATCTTTAGTTAGCAGCATGCTCCTGCCTAAATGGAGCCATCTGAGGGCAGGGTGGGCAAAGGGGACAGAGTAAAGTTAGCAGTAGTTAAATTCAGAAAACTGATGCTTATTAGTATTAGTACTCCCATTCCACAGCTCCCTAACTCAGTATTTAGAGAAGGCTATTTGTAGCAGCTGCCTACCTGATGGGGCCTAATCTAACTGCAAAAAGTTTCCAACTGACTCAAGAAGAGGGCTGCCTCCTGGAGTTGTCCAATTACAGGCCTGCCAAAACTTCGAACTGCTCCTTCTCAGTCTTTAGGAACATCCCGACAGAATTATCATTTCCCCTCATTATCATTATCATTCCCTCATTATTATAATAAGCAGAAACTAATCTGCAAGCAACATGATCCTGTAGATTACAAATCCCAATATTATCATTTGGAAGTGGTATAGAGATAAGGGTTAAATATTAGATGAAGGTGCTGAGAAAATAATACTTTCTTGCTGATGATGGCTTAAGCAATAATAGCTGGGTAGCATAGCATCATGGAATCTTAGAAGTGGACGAGCTACCTGATGGCACCAATTACAATTTTCATAGGACAGACACAGAATTATTTAAAAGTAAACTCTCCCCCCATGAAATGAAATCATTATTTCATTTGGCCCATAGCATAGGATTTGGCCCAGATGAGAAGCAGAGTTGATAATGATCATGATGATGGGGAGAGGGAAGAGGGAGGATGGTAGAAGTATGGGTTAATACTGATGATGGCTGATGAAAAATTATAATAAGGACATCTGTAAATGAGAGGGGAAGCTTCAACAACCTGAGATACAAAGCAGAAATCTCTCAAGTAAAACATGATTTTCTCTAGCTGAACTCACAAATGCATTAGGGCATTTGAACTCAAAAGATCTATGATCTCCAGCTGTACATCCCTATCCCAGGCCTTCCCAGACCTTCCCAGGCCTGAGGATATTTTATTCTTTATGTAGATCAGAGATGTGGAATGGGGAAAAGAAATGAAGGAGAGACATGGTTTAGACGTTAGTTTTCTGTTTACAAAGGAGCTTTGAACATTGGATTATTTTCAAGTTGGAAAACTGAGATATACACATCTTTCTGTACAAGTTGCTTTCCTATCACTTACCGCTTCCTGGGAGCCCTGCTATTTACTTGCTTTATCCAACTTGATTGTTAGAATGAACTTTCTGAAGTCAGCTTCCACCAATGGGTTTTGGGTTTTTTAAACTATTGGAATATTAGAGCTTGAATAATCCTTAGATTAACTAATCTAACATTCTTTTTCTTCAGACCTGGAAACTGAGGCCCAGAATGTTTAAGTGTCTTGTCCAACATCAGGATAGTTAGTGACAGAACTCTGACTAGCAACTAAGTCTTCTGACTCCCAAACCAATACTCCTTTTGTGAAATTTTGTGAAATTCACTCCTTTGAGTGAAATCTCAATTTCACCACTTTAATTTTTTAACCATGTAAAATGAACTTTGGAACATATAGTTATTCATATTGTAGTTTCTACTTTATTTGGTGACCTTAATCGATCAAAAATTGATTTTTAAAACATATATTAAAGTTTGCACTTGCAAGGAGAACCACATTATATTTTCCTGGTTTTGTCTCAGATAATTCAATTTTCCCTTTGGTTTGTTTGTTTTTCCTAAAGAAAAATCTTGTGTTGCTATAATTACATGTCTGTGCATTCTTATTGTGCTCTCCTTGGGAATTATGTCAGTGATCAACACTGCAACAATTTCAAAACCTAAGCTATATCAATGCACAACACAACTCAATCCATGATTAAAAACCCTAGTGGCCAAGAACATATTGCAACGCAAAACTTAGGAAAATTAGATACTTTATTCATATTTTAGTCACAAGAAGTTTTTCCCCCTTATTTTTTCGGGTTGTAAATACATACTAGAATAAACTCTGTAAAATATACAAAAAAATACATACTTTTCCCATGAAATCTTTCTTTATAATAAATAGAAGGGACCACGTGTGTGGCTGGTCGCGGTAATGCTCCGTGTCTGCTTAGGTTTTCAGTCTGTTGATTTATTTTTAATCTCTTGAAAGAATGGAGGAGTTCCTCCTCCCCCAAAAGGTCGAGATAAATAATGCATGAAGCAACCCTCCCTCCCGATTTTTCCCTTTTCCTCCGCATTTTTTCCTTTTGATAGAGAGTTCAGCCTAAATTTCCACGCTTGCTTTCAATCATTACAAAGCCTACAAATTATACAATGACTTCTAACCTGGCCCTCTAACAAAACAACTTTTTTCCCTTATAAATCATAAGAGACAGATGGCAAAATGGAGAAGAAAAAGGGAAGAGAAGGGCTGGACAAAGGGCATTGTGACAAATCTGGGAAACTGAGCAAAGTGCACATCAGAGAGGGAAAGTTTGGTTTGACAGGTGAAATTCCCACAGGCTGCGGGCAGCACTGGGAAGAAAGCAGATGCTAGCCTTCGCGAATCTGTGGATAATTTTGTTACCGGTCATATCATTCAGATGCTAAGACACATTTCTTTCTAGCCGACATTAACATCTTTATGGAGATGCAAAGGTGACAAGATCACACGAACCAGTTGCTTTCCCCCTCCGAGGTTCACATGGATGAGACCAAAAGAGAAAGCAGGAGGGGAGGGGCGATTCCGTTGGTTGGGTGGACCCGCTGGTTCCCTCCGCCCCTGCCCGCGCCCCCGCAGAGCCCAGTGGTCTTGAGCTACTGAAACAAGAACAATGCAGAATTCGAACACACCTTTCTGAGGCAGAGCCCCTTCCTCCATCACCACCACCCCTGCCCCCCCCACCACTCCCAAGTTACACCGAAATCCTCTTGGAAGAAGGAAACGCAGAGCAAACACAACCAAAGGACTTTGCAACCACGTAACACACAACTAGACTGTCAAGTGAGCTGACAAGCGGGTTTAGGGGGTGGAGGGGATGACTGAAGGAGGGGCAGTGTGGACAGCCACGGTGTTACATGCAGTCCCTGGCTATGGGGTGCAGAGGTGCGTAACGGTGTTTGTCTGGGGGCGGAGGCTGCCAGTAGTCCAAGTCGGAGCCGCCCCCCGAGCCGGCCGGGCTGGCGGGCGATAAAGTGCAGCTGTAGGGGGAAGTGGAACTGGAGGGCGTGCAAGACGCGGACGCCGGACTGTCGCCGCAGCTCCACGTGGAGGCGGACGCGGGGCTGTCGGCGCCGCAGCTGCTCAGGGCCGCGCTAGCTCCTCCGGGGCTCAGCAGCACCGCCGTGTCGGAGAAGAGCGCCCCAGGCAGGCCGCCTGCGCCCCCGCTCACGCCCCCGGCCCCGCAGTGGTCTGCCAGCCTCAGGGTCTCGGTGAGGGCCCATATGTAGTTGTGGGCGAAGCGCAGCGTCTCGATCTTGGTGAGCTTGGCGTCCTCAGGGAACGTGGGCAGCACCTCGCGCAGCGCGTCCAGCGCCGCGTTCAGGTTGTGCATCCGATTCCGCTCACGGTTATTGGCCTTGAGTCTCCGGGTCTTTTTGATCCTTTGCACGGTCTCCGCGGTCTTGGCGCCCCGGGAACTCCCCCGGGCTCGGCTCGGCCGCCGCTTGCACTCGTGAGCCAGGCTCAGAAGGCGAGTCGCGGGCTTGCACTCCTCCCCGCCCCCTCCGCCGCCGCCCCCTCCGTCTCCACGAACTCCTCCTCCGGACGCTTGCCCGGCTTCAACCAAGCGCGGCCGCCGCCCTCTGGAAGGCGCGTCCGGGTCATCCTCCTCCTCTTCTTCCGAGCTGGAAGTCAGCGGGGTCAGGGAGGACGACGAAGGGGAGGACGAGCCCAAGAGCACCAATACGTCCTCCTCTTCTTTTAGCTCCAAGGTTTCGGATTTGATGAACATTTCTGCCCACGAGCGAAGGGAGGGCACCTATCAGGAAGGGGGCAGAAACGCAGATAAACTCAGTAATGAAATGAATCGAAATGACTGACACTTGCTTTGACCAGCCAAAAGGATTTTTCTGGAAAGGCGTGAGAGAGATGGATAGTTTCTTTAAAAAGTAAAACCCACCACGACCCTCCAGTAGAATCCAGTAGTCTTTCCTCAAGCCTCCCAACTGCACCTTCGGGTGGAGATTTAGTCAATTGCTTTTCTGGGCTCACACACCTCGCCACTCTGCGCCCCCGTGCGACTGTGTTTAGCTCTTTACTGCATCCTATGCTTGCACTGCTAAATTGGCTGTGTCTTCTCACCTACCCGTACACCCTTGGATCACAACTCGATCCCCCGGGAAAGACATTGGTGGTACCAACATTAAAGCATCTTAGAAGCGAAAGGCAGCAGACAAAGAACAATCACAGGGGTTAAATAGTGATCATAAAAGGTATGGATAAATAAGAGAAGGAAGAAGAGCTCTCGAAAGTCTGAAGCAGCCCCAAAACTTACTTGGCTCTCTTTAATTGCGCCTTAAAATCACTCGCTCGTGTTTGGGCTTCAGCCTATGCCCTATGCTTCTTCGGCGTCCTGGAGCAGCGGGACTGCGCTCACCACCTGGAGAGCGACCTCGTGCTGCTGATGTGCTTGTCCGAGGGAGCTCCTCCCCAAGAGCCCCTTTGCCAAGAGTCGATGGAGGGGCCCTCAGCGGCGGCTGCCCCCTTGGTCTTGTGTGTTTTGGTGGTGTTGCGTGTCTGTCTGTCAGTCAGTCCCCGGTGGTGCAACTCCTGGCACGCGACTCCTCGACACTACAGTTAAAGTGAAGCTGCTTGTGGTTCAATGGCTGTGTGTCTGGCACACGACTCTCCTTAAAACCCCTTATATACTACCAAGAAAACAATCAAATCTGCCCCCGGGGCCCCCCCAGATCTCCCACCCCCTGTCCTCCTCCTCCCTCCTCCCCTCTTCCCTCCCCGGGTTTATTCTTTTCATTGCATTATCATCACTCATTTCTTTCTCTTTCTTAGCCCCTTCCCTCCTCCCCTATGCTGCCATCCATCCATCCTCCCCCTCTTTGCCCCCCCCCTTTTCCCCCTCCTCTTTATCTAATCAGCATAAAGTGGTTCTAAAGCTCCAGTCTGAGCTGGGAGCTGCAGCCCAGGCTGCAGAAGCGGCGGTGGCGGCTGCTGCTGCTAAAGCTGCTGTTGTCGCCGCCGCCGCTCCTCTTTGTGATTGGTGGCTCGCGCTCGGCTGGAGCGTGCCGCTAATTTATTAATGAATGGTGGTCGCGAGGCGCAGCTGGCCAATCAGTGCACCTCGGACTCTGGAAGTTCTGCAAGCCACGCGCACCAGAGCCCGCTCCCTTTCAGCAGCCTCATTAGGGTCGGGGTGGGGGATGAAAGTGGGGGGCGTGGGGGAAAATGGGGACACCGAGAAGCACGCACCCCCACCCCCACCCACTCCCACATCCTCCCCATCAAGAAGCAAGCGGGGCGGGGGAAAGTGCGTGCACACATACACCCTGCCTGCAGTCTCTCAGTCCTCCCTCCTTTCTTCCCATGCAAAGGGAGATGAAGAATTAGTAGGAGTCAAAATTCTAGTGGAATTAGTCCGGGCTATGAGACGCAGAGAGTTTCTTTTTAATTTTATTTTTGCAAAGCTATATTTTAAGAGGAGTAGATGGAAGGGAAGCAGCGATCGGTGAAAATTTGAGCGGGTATGGGAGTGGTGAAAACTCCCTTCAGGCTATTTTGGGTGGTGGGAAAAAGGAAGGGAAAGACTTTGAGTAGAATGATTTCAAAAAGATATACTATATAACAATGTAATATAAAGATCATCTAGTCCCTCCTCTTCATTTAACAAGATAAGTAAGCAGAGTTCCAGAGTGGAGAAGTTAGTTACTTAAGGTCGTATAGCTACGTAGCCGCCGAGCAGGGTCCAAGAGAAATGTGTGTTGGGTGGGGCATGGTTTCCCAGGTGGGTAAGTATGGCCAATGGGCTGTTTTGACTCCCAAGTGGCCCCTCCACGTCTCTGGGAGATCTTGGATGGGTACGTGGTACTAGCCTTCGCAGCTTTTCGATGAGTTGAAATTGACGGGTTCCTCTATTTCAAAACTTCCTGGCTGACAATCGGTCCTTTGCCTCTTCTGTCAGTTCCGTCATTTGAAAGCTAATGTTTCCCCTACCGGGTTCTCCGATTCTTTGCCCCAACCTTATCCCCTTCCCCCCTGCGGGTACACGTGAGATGGGGGGGAGTATGTACTTTTCCCGCGTGTGGAAGGAAGGAGTATGTGGGTGGGGTTACAGGATAGTCTGGTGTGAGTGGTTAAAGATGTCTAGGACCCTTGTAGACAGGGAAACCGTCCTTTACGATTCATTTTGGAAAAGAAGTTTTGTTTTGTCTTAATTCAAGTTAGGGGTTAAATTCTTTTTCCTAAGTGGAAGAGGTTTTGATTCGATGTTTTTATTTGTATGTAGGAGGGGGTTAGGGAGGTACAAAGATGAGGAGTGGATGGTTGGTATTATCAGCTCTCTCGTTCATACTCTGTAATATGGAGACTTTGGGGTGTTATTTTAGGGAAAGGAAACAACCAGAAAAGGTCGTAGGTGTTTGGGAGAGTTTTTGTTTGTGTTCTTAAAATAAGTTATTTAATTACAGATTTTTAAAAATAGGAATCCTGGGGTAAGTGGAGAGGAAAAAGTACTAAATACTTATAGTACTAAGGAAATAAAACATTTGCAAAATGAAGCTTTCTTTACTCTAGGTTAACCTCCTTCCTCACGAAATTATTTTGGAAACCATTTAAATTTTTTCCCCGTTGGCAGGAAAGTTGATTTTTTCCCCACATCTTTTTTCCTCACTGAATCTCTTTTCTAATCCATTTAGTTTAGAACGGGGATTTGTTCCCTTTCCTCCACTCGGTCCCCAAACAATCTTGATATTGTTCTTTGAAAATGAAGGGATATTTCAAAGCAAATCTTTCTCTCCTCCTCTTTCCAGGTCCTTCTCCTCCCTGTCCGTTCCCTTGTCTTATTCCATTGTGCCAATTACCACGACGCTGTCAAATCTAAATCAAAGAGAACTCCTTGAAAGTTAAACGTTTAGTGAATCTAAAGATCGAGGTATAAAAGGTTGGGGGATGCTCTTCGTATTTGATTTTTGGTGCATTCCTACAAGACATTATTAGTGATAGTCAGACACCGTACACACACACACACACACACACACACACACACACACACACGTGCACACACATCAAGAAACAAAGGATGAGAAAAAAAAACCTGAGACCAAGGAATCCGAGTCTAAACAGAAAAGTTATCGATGAAGGGAAAAGCAATGTCTTTAGTCTAAGACGATTAAACAATGGAAATAAAAGTGCATTATAGTGTATAGGAGTCTCGGCCATCAGCATCTGTTCAGGGAAGTTGTAAAGAAAAGCAAATCCACCAAATAGTGTTAGAAACAAAGAAAAGGTTTATTTGACATTTCCTTTGGAAACGTAGTCAACCTGCAAAAATTCTCTAAGAAGTGCTGGTTATTGGAAGTTGTCAAATGAATTAAGAAAAGGAAGAGAAAGAGAACTGAGTTCTAGAGCAGCTAACCTGCAGGCCTCATGAACCTCTTTTTCTGGGCTGTAACTAATATTTAGTTCTCCCAAGTGTGATGATTTGTTCGGAACTTTATGGAATCTGTGGTTTATACTCAGAGCTTCTATGAAGAAGTGAAAAAGGAGCTTTTTCAGTGAATTTGCCATTGAGTCTTTATAGATGAAAGAGATCTGGAAGCCATCTAGGGCAGCACCCTCATTTTACAAATTGGGAGACAGAGGCCCCAAGTAGGTTAAGTGACTTGCCCATTGTCGCACACAAGTATTTAGTAACCGAGGCAGCATTTTGACCCAGATCATCTGCCTCCGAATCTTACTCATTTTGCACTGCAGCTGCTTCCATGTAACCAGAGGAAAATCCCTACAGTTTGCACAGAGAAACTAAGGAGAAAATACAACACTTTGCTTGGATTCTGTGAAGACTTGTCTGACAACTTGGGGGAGATGGGAGGAATAGAGACAGTTGAGTGAGGGACTATGTCTAGCAATGCAAGTCGACTCCTGTGCAAATGTATAATCTTGAAGAGGTTCTGTGAGTCCTGAAAAGTTAAGTGACTTGCCCAGGGTGACACAGCTTGCGTGAGGAGTAGGAATGGAACCCGGATGTTCCAGACTCCGAGGGAAGGAAGCTTTCTGCCTACAATTCTACTGTCTTAGGCTCTATCTTTATCACTTCCACAGCAAAGACAACAACAACCCTCACAGAGTGTCATCTTTCCTCCTCTGGAATTGGTTTACAGGAAGGCAGGAATGTGTTCTGAATAATTTGTTTAGACAGCATTAATTTAAACACTTAACCAATCCTGGAAGCTGACCGTACATAATAGATAATAAAGATATTACTAGCGTTTATCATGGGAAAGCGTCTATCAGATTCGATTTCTCTTTGTTCCCCGGAAGAGGTGGCTGTGTGAGTCAAATCAAAGCCTGAAGCACAGATTGAGGAAAAATAAAAGCAAAAACCTTTGAGCCTCCTCTCCCAATTTGTACCATGTTTGTCCAACAGAATTTAGGTACTAGTAACGGATCTCTTTAAATATTCCTAAAGGCTCCTCAAGGACCAGTTTTCTCTTGCATTTAGAAATACATCTTTGCTTAAAAAAACAAAAACAAAAGCAGATGTTTAAGGACTTTCTCAAAAGGACTTCTCTGGCGCAGCCCCAGGGACACACGCATACAGATACTGTCCCACCAAAGGGTCTTCGTGAAAGAAAGGCGATTTTGATTCAGAGACAGATTTGAGGGCAACGTGACTCAAACCAAACTTTCTTAGCACTCTTTTAACTTAGATAAATTCAAGAGGCACTTGTGTGGTCTAAAAAGATTGTCCAGATGAAACCAAGCTGAAATGTTCTGCCAAAAAAAGGGGGTGGGGAGAGAGGAAAGAACTGAATAGCATCAGTGAGGCTGGTGACCGAGGGCCCTACTGTCCAATGCCTGAACTGTCTGTCCTAAAGGGTCAAACTGTTCATCTTCAGCCCCTTTTCTATGCCCAATCCTACTTTAAGGGGAACAAAAGCTCAAAGCAGGCAGTTATCAAGAAACTGGAGCACAATGATTTAAACTCCTGGCAGGGTCTTAAGAACTGGGGGGGGGGGACGGACAGAAGCGGGGGGGGGGGAAAGGGGCGGGGGGGTGGAGATCTTTAGAAAAGTCTTTGTTGCTTCTAAGAAGCTTGAACTCTGAGACGACCCAACAGCCCTAAAAGTTTAGGGTAGGTGTTGCTGTGGGGCCTTCGGCGGCAGCCAGCGCACACACTTCGACCTCACAAGTGGCTCGTCCCCGTGTTCCCAACCCCGACAACCCGCTTTTGCAGGTGAATAGGGAAAGAGAAAAGGGTACCGGCCCCTCCTAGGCTTCGGGCTCTCCATCTCTAGGACAAAGAGGAAGGGGTCTGTAAACACGAAGTGCGCTTCTCTAGAAGGACACTCTCCACTTTCTCCTCCTACTCTAGATCAGCTTCCCCACTCCCCTTGGAAGTGTACTTGCGCTCCCGAGACTCTGACCTGAAGGGCGGCTTCATGAATTGCTCTGAATCTTACGGATGAATATCACCGAGAAGTCGAAGGAAATGAGAAAGTGGGAGCTCTAATAAGGTCACGTGTCTCACAAGTGGCTCTTCGAAGCTCTGCTGTCACAATGCTCACCCGAAAGCATCTGAGGAAGGCAGAGATGGACGTTGAAAATAGCTGGTCAGAAACAGATTTGATAGGTAAAAAGCATCCCGATTCTCATCATTTCGCCCATCTCCATTCCCAATTATTCATTCCTCTGAGGTCTGAGCTCACTGTGTCTCTTAAAACATCTAGGAGCTCGGAAG